CAATGGTAGATATCTTACCCTCTCGATATCTTAAATTAGTGATTTAGTTTTCACAACCTTATTGTGAGCTAGTCTTATAGTTGTTCGAGATTCAGMGAGAACTTTTTTCCCAAAAGCCAGGACTGTTTATAAAGTATCATGAGACAAGTATTGTCAGCGCATTTTCGAGGAGAATAAAATTCCTTATCAAACAGTAATTGGTGTGTCAATCTATTATCTAGCAATGTCCCTTTTGTTGGTTGAGACGTTTTTTTGAGTGAAGTCAAAAAACCTGTGAAATAGATATTACATTAATACAACTTTGTACTCTCTCTAATTGCAATGTTTTTTTTTGTGTCTATTTGACCATCACACTTTCATAGTCAGATTTTGTTTCACGATTTTAATGACCTCTCTTTATGGACAAGAAGAACATTAGTAACTACATTATGATAGTCTTATTTATCATTATTTGGTTGTTACTGTTTTTATGTTAGCACTCTACAGGTAGAGTGAWCGCACTTAAACCGTGCAACTGTACAAAATCTAAGTAGTAATAATTTGTACTAAAAGTGGACCTCAAGCAAGACGGTATTGAATGCTTCATTTGTATCAATTCAATTTARTTTGCGTMCCGCATGCACRATTTAYGAAATACAACTAAATAGTCCTATTTAGTTTGTACAGTTAAACGGTTTAAGTGMGATCACTCTACTTTTCAATGTTTTTTTGTGTTGGCACCCTACAGATATCGTTGAATATAGTAGGAAATATGTCTACGAAGGATTGACCATATGAAAAACGAGCATAAGACTGGGAATGAGGAAATTAACCGCTCCATATTTTTGAAGATCTGTGTTCACCATATGAAGGAGTATATCTCAACTAGTCAATTGGCAGAGTTTTAGTTTCAATTGTTAAATATCAGCAGAGTTATGAGCATTTGAAATGTAACAAAAACGTGAAAACGAGGCTGGTTAGGCCTCCATACTCATTTTCACTCAAACCTTTGCAACTTCAAACACCTGTAATTTCTGGTCCTTAAATGTATGAGAAATGAGACTTTCAGATCGTATTCATTGTGATGTGTTCGTCCAACGGGTAGCAATGATACAATAAAAATCTTATAAACTAAGGAGTTACGATAGCCACGCCATTTTTCATATGGTCTATTGTTTATCAAAAGTAGAACAAAACAAGCTGTTTTTTTTGCTTTTCTTGTTTTTTGTTGTTTTTTTCTCTTTCGTGTTTTTGGCATGGTCTGAAACAAGAACCTTGTTCAAGTATGACATCATCTCACTATCCGCTTTTCTAAAACTGTTCCTTYTTTTAGATCTGCCCTTTTGATGAGTATGTCATCCACTTAATTTGTTTCTTTGTTTTAGGTTTTGTTGAATGTTTTAGGGCTCCTCGTCAAAMTTCATCTTTGGCCAGAAATACATTTTTTTACGGAGTGTTGGTATAGAGGCTGGGACTTGTGTTCTGCCGTATGATGACCCATGTATTCTCCTGTAAACCTYATCATTAACTCTTATCAACATAGTCATGATATCCTCTTTATCTGCATATTCTCTAAAAACAGAAACCAAGCTTCGAATGAAATAGCTTCCGTCTTCTGTATGTCGGTATGAAATGTAATCTTCAAAACTAGAGTAAGCGATGAGCATGTCTGCCATGTCAAGATCTCTGCTCTCTACAGGTGGAGCTTGGGCTCTAGTACCTTCCTCACTGTGAGACGGCCCATCGGCTACGTCCAAGAACCCACCTCCCCTTTTGCCGCGACATGCTTGTACGAAAAACAGCTTTGGTTTGTAGCGAAAAACCTCACACTCTGAGTTGGAGAACATGTTATAAACAGCTGGAACTTTGATTGTGTTTCCATCGTTTGCGTAGAAAACGTCGTCTTTTCCATGACTCATGATGCACACTGCAAGACAGTCGTAATCTTTGTACTCAGTGTTTTCAGCAAATTTTCGTAGGTCTCTCAAAATTTCTAACCTCGGTTTGTCTATGATGGTACAAACCTTGAAGTTCAAATACCGACTGAAAAGGTCATTCAGATCGTTAACATCCTTTTCAGAGCCTTTACGCTCCGATAATTCTTTGATGAGTTTCTGTCGATCTGTAAGCGTAGAGCTAAGAGCAAACTTTTGGATGTTTATGATGACCATCAATCCTCTGGGGTTACTTTTCATTCTGTACACATTGCTCGAATTTGGATCGTCTTTCCAGCAAACGGAATATTGCTCTGAAAGATAGAGCAATATTTCAATTGGTTCAAAAATACCCCTCTGAACTWCAAAATTGACCAAAAGGCTTGAGACTTCTGGTCTATAAAATCAATTTAAGTGCCCCTCCCCATTTTAAGACAACATGACAGCGAACCGTCTACCTCTCGACTACAACCTTGGTAAAGGGAGTTGGTGTTTAGACAACGGTAATATAATTACGACGAGCAGCTATAAAYAGTGTAAATTTAAAGAAAATCTCAACCAACCACAATACAGCGCGCGCTCGTGTTATTGTTCACATAATTACGTTTAAATGCGTCAAGCACACAATAGATTATAGATTGATAGTACATGTGAAGTACTTAGTTAAAGGTATTTATGTCCAAACTTCATTTTAAGAAATCCTACGAATTCACCAATTTCGTGTTTACCTTAAAATGGATCTTCGGCTCGCAAGGTTGGTTGTGATTCTTCGAGGATCACCCCAAATGAATAATTTGGAAATAACAGACAGATTTTGTCTAAGATTGCTAGGCCAATGACACTGTTACATAGGCATTGGTGGATCAATCCAAAATTTTCAAAAGGTGTTTTTTAATTAAGTGCCAAASGTTCCAGGGTCCCAAAAGTGATGGTTCCATCATCTTTCTTAGATGAAGGTCCAATTCTGCGTATATATATATTCATAATTTAGAAAAAAAATTGAAGAAATTGAAGAAAAAGGCACACAACTTGCAACTAGTATTTCTACTCTTTATTCGAACGTTTCGGCACTTCGGCCTTCTTCAGCAAACTGAGTGTTTTGTTGCACGCGCCATTGCTACAAAACCAAAGAAAGCAGTAGTCTTTCATGGTGTTGATATCGAGCTAGCTTGTTCCAAGCGTTTTCTATATCATAATTTAGAGATACGAAAGGCGACGATACAAACTGCTCAAAAAAGGATCCATRCACTCCGGTGTTGCAGCACCGGACAGGGGTACAAAGACGTCGAAACCGAACACTCTGTTAGTACTTACTTTCTCCAACTTCGCTCGTACGTCTTTCACTCTCTTCTGCCTCGTTGTCCTTAATCAAAATTATTTTTGGTCAGAACAGACAATTTATTAACGGACACTCAAGCATTGCGTTTCAAAATTTGTTGTTATTTTTAAATATATAGGGGGAGGGAATGCTGCCAAACAATCGCTGCAAAATTCCCAAAGGAAAACGGTACCTTTGTGAGAAAATCAGGCGCAAGAACTAGCACCAGAACTAGCCTGCGTAGCGGCCCTCAAGGGATTGGGGAGGACCGAGCGGAGAATGGGGAGGAGAAAAAGGAAGGGCATGCAACAAAACCCCACAGTTTTACAAAACGCCCCCTAATTAATAATTACAAAGCCTGGAAAATCTAACTTGACAGTTGTCAAAATAAACCTAAAACCGTGGGGTTCCGTTGTAGGCACTTCCTATTTTTACACCCCACTCCTTGCTCGGCCGGCCCTCCCCAATCCCCTTAGGTCCGCTATGTAGGCTACACCAGAACAGATTGTGCGTGTTTGATGCAAAAACGGGATAGACCATTTGACAATATTTCAGCATAGTTTTGGACAGAGACAATGGAGATCAAGCAAAGCCACATTGAATGCTTTACATATGTTCAGATTTAAGAACGCTTCTTTTCGTTATAAACAGTTCCATCGTATCACACGGATTTTCTACTTATCTCCTAAACTTACCGTTTTGTCAAAGCTTTTTTTCATGAGATGCATTGCGGCTTTTATTATAAAGCTAGCTCGATCTTTTGCCTTCTCCACACCAAGATCTTCCAAAAAGAACAGATTAAGTTGATCATTCATAAATTCTCCAAGTGTAAAAATCAATTGTTTAACTCTAACGAATTCTTCCCTAACGTAACAGGAATTCAATCCAGCTTGATAATTTCTTTGATGTGATACTGTAATCATGATTGCTAAGATTACTGATCTAGTTTATTCTATTTCAATTAGATCTGAACAAATTAAGTTACCTATTAAAACATGTGTAGTTGTCTCTAGCTTAGTTTTTTATTCAGACGTTTCGATCTGCTCTCAGATCTTCTTCAGTGCAAAAAATGAATTCCGTTACAATTGTTTGCGCGCGTATACGGAATTCATTTTTTTGCACTGAAGAAGATATGACAGCAGATCGAAACGTCTGAATAAAAAACTAAGCTAGAGACAACTACATTAATCATGAATCCTAGCTGCAACAATCATAGATTAAATTACCTATTGACTCTTTGAAAATCTGACCAACCACAGCTCCTATAGTACCCATAAGCTCCAGGGCAGCTGGATTTATCCACCACACATGTTCCCGAAACTTCACTTTGACACTTCCCTTGTCGATGTCCAAAACATTCCCCAGCTTATCAAGATCCTTGTTATGAATACAAGAAAAAATAATTTCATAATAATGTATATATATCTTCTTTTTGAATTAAAGGGACATGATCCACTAGCATGCAATGCGGTCGTGTTTTAGATTTTTCATGGAAAATAAGGTGACGAATATCCATTTGCAATCCGTTTCCATCCATCGGTTTAACGTCGAATCTTAAAGCATCTCCATTCATATAGGATAAAGGAATAATAAAGAGTAGGTTTTTGCTTATATAATTACGATGTATTTCTATTTTCAAACATAAACAAAAGCTCGAAAGGGATGCTGGTGGAMCATGTCCCTTTAAAAAAATCGTTTCATTAGAGATTTGAAACACTTTGTTGAGGTATATAGTACCTCAGTCATATCCTTGTGAAATCCGTTGTGCTTTTCTGTTTGCAATTTCTTCAAAGCCTGAATGTTATCAGTCAGTCGAACAGAGTCTTTTATTGAAAGGTTAGGAATCTAAAAATAACAATAATCAGTTACTAAAATGATTGCGGATTATCGATTCAGTCGTTAATATATACTGGGTGATTGATTTGCAACCAGGCCTGCATATGAATTCGCCAAGGTTGTAAGCCASTGAGCCCGTGCATTTTTGTTAAGCGGTCATATTTGAAATATTTAAATAAAGGAAAGGGAAAACCCGCAGCTCTCCTTTCACTCAGATAAAYAGTACAAGTCGTGTTAAATTTATTTAGAATTAAACCTTTAAGAATTGAATGCTCATATCAAACATTTTCCACCTTAAATACACACGTGTTTTTCAGGAGGGAATTTTGTCGAACTTTTTTCACGATGGAATTTTGTTTTGAGTCGTTTCAACATAAACAGTCGCTATCAAGACATTACGCAAAAAAAACCCAGTCACCGTTCTAGCCCTCGTTGTAAGGTCAAAGCTAGTAAATATGTAACAGACCTGTTACATAACGTCAACCTGTTGTATCGTCGAGCATGCTTGCAGCTTATTGCCGAAAATGCGACAAAGGATGAACTACGACTGTTGTCACTACCAAAAATAACAAACGCTTTAACTCTATTGGAATACGTGGAGCTAAGCCGCTCTAGCTCTTTCAGTGATGTTGTAGATATACCTCAAAGCTTAGAGGAAACAAGAGCTAAGAAAAAAAGGATTTGCAATGGTTCCTCCTAAGATACTTTGTACTTGAACGTCAGTAGTAGGCAAAGGACCGCTCGAGCCCCGAAAATAGGAGGTAGGAGGTAGGAGGTAGGAGGTATGCTAATGAGACGTTGGTAGAATACTAATGAGGTTCCCCGCATTGGTAATTTATGCCCCGTCCAGTAGGTGGTATAAATTATTTCAGTAGGAGGTATGCTAATGAAGTCAAAAGGGATAGGGGAGGGGTGGTCAAAACGAGTAGGAGGTAATTCATTATCATAAAATTGTGGGCAATCTAATTATGCAACGTTAGTGTTGATAGATCGAGGGCAACCTAGTCATACAACTTATGTGTTGGTAATCTAATTATGCAATGTTGATAATATTTTATGTCAAGGTTCAGCGATCGCATAAATTAGTATCTGAAGAAAAGGTTAATGATCACTTTTGTTCTGAGACAATAGGTCACCTGCTACAGGAGTTTGAATAACCAAAAATTATGATTTTTAGCCTTTTTATATTTCTAACTATTGATTACTATACCTCACTTTTATTGTAAAGGCATTCATTACTTTGAAAACTTCCGAGAGGCCCGGAAAGGACCGGAAAGGCCCGAAGCTGTCCGAAAGTTCCGGAAAGGACCGAAGCTGTCCGGAAAGGCCCGAAGCTGACCGGAAATGGCCCGAAGCTGACCATAGAATGAGCTCCTGTTTCATCAGCATTTTAAAATAAGCAACAACAATGCAATCATTTATTTCAGTTGTTTTTTATTTTTCAATTCATCAGTGATTACAATATAACTTAAGAAAGATCGTAAACAGATGTCCTATGTTGCGAGGCGTGACTTAGTGTTTTACAATTCTTACATAGTTTGGAGTAACTTTTCGCGGTATCATAATTCAGAGGAAATTTATGTTTACAAATCGGGCAGGTTAAGATCATACTGAAGCGAGGAGATGGATTTGACAAAGCATCGTGCCAATGACATTTTGGGCATGCAGCTATCATTTTTACGTCAACATCTTGGTGATCGCAATGATCGCAACGCTTTTTGTCATTTGGCTCTTCTTCTTCACTTTCTTGTTCTGAATTTTCATCCTCCTGCTCTTCATCTTCTTCCAAAGCTTCATCTGATTCTGAATCTTCCGAATCTTCTTCTTCGGTTTCCGAATGTTCGCTTCTGATGGAGCTTTCTTCGCTATCATCACTATCGGTGATTTCTTCAGAGTGACGATTCAGTATTTCCTCCTTGTCAAGAATTTCTCTCAAGGCTTTTTTATTTTTTATCCATTTCTTGTTGATTCCGAGCTCCGCGAGTCCTTCCAGGAACGAATTGAGGGCACGCGGTTTTGTTACATCGTTATTGAAAGGAAGCAGCACATACTCCAAAAGTTCTGAGATGCTGGTTTCGGGGATACGACGTTGATTACGGAGTAATTCCCCTCTCGGAGTCCAAAACAAAATGTCTTTAGATGCAGCCATACTGTGCAAAAGATCTGAAGCATGCTGTTGAGAAACAGAACCAGGGAGCTCTTGTAACACTAACTGGATTATGGGCTCTTCATCATCATCACTTTCGCTATCTTCATCATTAGGTATTTCATGAATTTCTTCAGCTTCATTATCTAAAGATGACTTTCTATTCATGATAGAGAAGTTTACTGCACCGATGTCCAAAGCAAATGACTGCTGATTCCTCCAGCTGACGAATTTATAGCAATAAAAGAGCACTGAGGAAGGGGGTCAACATATCGGGAATAAATGAACCCCCCTCTTGCACGAGAATCTGTTTCTTTTTCTTATATGGAGTGCTTGGGTCTTCGAGTTCTTTGATAGAATCTTTAAAAGGCATCAAGATTTCTTTTTCTCTATTACTCAAAGGGATATGTCCTCTGCATA